GTGACTTGAGTCTACATTGCTAAAGTGACCAACTTCAGTTATTTACTTAACTGAGTCTTCTAATAGCTAAGCACACCGTTTTTACTAAGTACATCCCTAATAGTTCATACATATATCCATTTTCTAATTAATATTAGCCCATCATCTTCACTTAAGGGAGATGCCAACTTATACTCAGAATGGTAAGTACTACAACATTTCTCCTGATGAAGTAATATTAATACCACACGATGCTATTACAGACTTGACTTATTTTCATAATAGTTAGCTGTCTTTTCACCCTGGTCTTACTTCACAAGCTTGTTATTTCATTAAATATCCTTTCCTCAAATCTAGAAGACAATAGTACTGAGTGTATTAACAAATTGTGATGACTCTTGCCACTGACAAAGCATGTCCTTGCTTTTTGATTATGGAGATTTCTCCTGTATTTAACTGGAATTAGAGAAATTAAAATATAAGAAAGCTTAAGCAGCCTTGGGTTTTCCTTTTATCCCTAAACATGAGACACAATATTCCAAACGTTTCTCATATTGCAAGTTTTCACTATCAGCAACATACAGCCAATTGTTCTGAAGGAACACCTATGTTAGGGAATGTGTACATGTTTGTAGAGGAGAAGAGAAAGGACAGCACGTGTGAAAGCAGAGCTTAAAAAAGTCTAGACCATTACCAAACTTCATTTACCATGACTCAAAAATCCTTGAGTAAAACACCCTACACCAGGTTATTGACTATCAAACAAAAACTCAACATAGGCAACGTGATGAAGGTAAGTATCTTAGAGATGGTCAGGCATACATGTATCATGCATCAGAAAAGTAAAATCATTATGTATAGTACCACTATCAAATAGTTTCATTTCAAAAAACTTGGTATGCTTTTCTAAAATTCTGAAACAGGCCATAAAACACTGGAAGTACCACTTCTTTCAGCATATGACTTCTTGATGTAGCCAGCCAGTAACTTTCAACATATGTGCACACAGTGACACAATCAATGAATAATTCCTACTTTGAAGGTCTTTTTAGAAAACTTTAGAAAGCATTAACATTGACAGGCATGGTGGCACACGCCTGTAATTCCAGCACTTAGGAGGCTGAGGAGGAGGAACGCCTTGAGTCTGAGGCTAGCCTGGGCTACACAGTGAATTTAAGACCAGCCTGAATTACAGAGCAAGACCCTCCCTGAAAAAACAAATTAACATTTTCAAAATGGTAATATTTCTTTGCTTAAAAACAAAGGAAAGTAAAAAAGAAAACTTTTCTGAAGAAATCTCAATATTCTAAAGGTGATAATACACCTTATTATCTGGCAATACACCTGGTTTTGCTGCTCTGTTGAAGAAAGAAGGTCTCCATGCTACCATCACTTACTGCTTTATTGTAAACCCAAATACTGTGTACAGTCATCCAAGTATTATAATTTTTTTTTTTAAGTTTTCCTCACAATTTAAAAAGTTACATTTGCGTGTTGGGCACTAAATATTGTAAACCCAAATACTGGGTACAGTCATCCAAGTATCATAATCTTTTTTTAGTTTTCCTCATAATCTAAAAAGTTGTATTTGTAATCCCATTGAGACATCATTGGAATCCCAGCAAGTTAATTTTAATCTACCACTTCCAATGCAACCCACAGCAAGAGTAAAGACACCACGACATGGTTAAGGGCAGCCAAAGGGTACTAAGTCCAATCCTCGTGAGGACAAGTGGACAAAGGCCCTGATCCTAGGCCTCTCCCAGAATTTATTATCTTGTGAAGAAGGGGGGGGGGTGGTATGGTGCAGGGATAAGTGACAGTGAGGATGGTGGGGGAATTGCATAACTTGAGCTGACTAGCCAGGTGCAAGAATGGCATCTCTGTAAATTGTAGAGATAAAGATATGCAGAAGAATCAATTTACATAATCTAATTAAGGTAGCAATGAAATTGTTTTGGGAGGCTGTCCCAACCGTTTTTTTTTTTTTTTTTTTAAGATATGTAAATTTTTGTGCCCTAGGGAGTCATAGTCTCTTTATCTTGAGGCTCTTGTACCCATGACATTTCTGGAGCTATTGGCTCTAACATCTTGTGTGCTCACGTCCTATACATATCCTGTATGAAGAACACTATGTGAGGAAACAGGGCTGTCTGTTGGCTTTAGAGATTAGTATTAGCACCTCGGCTAGCCTTATTTGCAATGCTTAGAGCCAACTGAAGAGAAAAGGAAATACCCTACCCAGCTTTTTACATATCAGTATAAGAAAATGAGTCTCCAAATAATCAAAATCACAGTAATTGTTTTGCATTTAAAGGGAGTCACTACAGTTGTCTACCACACTCCTTTATTCATTCACATGCACTAGGTGGTCACTCACGTTCATCCTGAAAGAAATCTTACTGCTCTAAAAGTATTCTACTGCTTCATATGTGCCAAGCTTTGAATTATAGCCCATGCAAGACCTGTCAAGAAAAATCTACTGTTGTCAAAGTTGCCGAATTCAGGAAAGCCAACCCTTTCAATTGGGACTTTCTTGAGAGATTTTGTCATGAAACAGGAGTAATTATGAAGTTTTTTCTACGGATAAGTTCAGTGACATTTGGAATATAAACTGCATGACCAGGTAACGCTGTTCAGTAATGAAATACAAACTCTTAAAGAGTTTAACTCTTCAGCTTTAAGTGAAATACAGTCATAACCCTCTTGCCAAAAATAATCCATTAACTTGAAAAGAAAATGATACAACATAAATGTATCTGAAGAGAATTTTTTTCTATTTAGTCCTGGGGGCTGAATTCCAGGGTCTTGCCAAATCACTAAGCTGCCATGGTTGCGTTTGAACTTGTGATCCTTCTTGCTTCAATCTACCAGAGTGCAGGAATTATAGGCATTTGCCACCATACTCAGCTAAAAACTTATTTCTTGTCACAAGCCTGCGTTCAATGGGTGAAAGAATCTACAGATTTTATTTGCTCTTTTGTGCAGTGCGGTTTTCGGAACTTGTAAAAACTAAAACACAGACAAATTGATTAAAGATGACATAACGTTGGGGATGTAACTCAGAGGTAAAACACCTGCCTAACATGTGCTTGGCCTGGGTTCAATCTTCTGTATCCACTCCCTCCCTGACCAAACAAAACATTAAAAATTCAGAGACAACAGCATATTTTCAACTTATTTCAAAATTTAAAACCAGGCATGGCAGTGCATGCCTGTAATTCTAGTACTCAGAAGAGTAAGAAAGAATTGCCTCAAGTTGGAGTTGAATACAATTAGTTCCAGTCCAGTCTGAACTACAGGGTGAGATTCCATGTAAAAAAAAAAATTTTTAAACAGTTAAAGAACAGCGGTGCTTTCATTAAAATTAACTACTATACAAAACAAACTTCACTTTGGTTAGTTTTGTACTATATAAGTTTTATTCACTGCGCTCATTGATTTTTGCATAAAAAAGGTTTTTTTTTTTTTTGTAGTTCTGTATTACTTGTACCCTTACCCCGCTTTGTTTTGTTTTTTCTCTTTTTCCTTTTAAATAAAAATTTTTTAAAGGGGGGGGGGGAGATAAAGTTCTCACGCAGATTCTGTCCAAGTTTTTAAAAAAGTTTCACAATTACAAACCCTACACAAAATTTTGTGTTTCTGTACACCATGCACCTATATGGTGGAAGAACATGTATGTATTTCATCAAATTTTTAAAAGTCATATAACATGGAGGGCTTAAGAGTCCCTAGCTCAAATCTAGCATTCTGGTTCATTATACAACTTTTCTATTTTTTTTCAAGAAAACCTTTTACCTAATTTCTAATATTCAATTTTATGTACTATCACCAATAAATACTACTTTGGGATCCTTAGAAAAATGTCACAAAGGCAAAGAAAGGGTTAAAATAAGACTAAGGAATTGATGCAACAACATCTTAAGATAGTTGATATGGTCACTTCTATTTCTGTTTTGAAGTCCGTAAGTAATTGCCCTATCCCGAAGGAAAACTTGACTCATTATAAAAATTACTAAAGCTACAATAGATTTTCAGATAAATTGTGATTATCTTCTTCCCTGGAGCTCTCTAAATGAATTTCTGCATCTCTCTGGAGTGATTTGGGTTTTGTCCTTTTTGGAGATGGTAGATGTGTAAAAATTCTTTGGATTAAATGTTAACATGTTTTGTCATGCTATTCAACATTTACGGATTCTCTGATATTACTGTAAAATTTTTGTCAAAAATTTATTTTCAAATGTACTATAAAATTACGTTTCCAAGTCTTAAATTTTCTGAATAATCAAAGAATCTTTGATCTAAATCTAACTAATTTATGAATATGATAGTGAAGAGTGGTTTTTATTTATTAAAAAAGCTTACACTTTACTAACAGCATTCAGGTTATTATCCATACACATTTTATTCTCAAAGCAAATTTCAGAAATACCAAGTTTGCTTTCAATTAATTTGCTATTAAATTTTTTTAAATGCTATTTTATAAGGATTTTGTGAGACCAAATACAGTTGAGTAAGATATGCTCACATGGTATAGAAACAGCAGCATAAACAGAAAAGTAAAATAAGCTGTTTGCTCAAATAGAAGTTGAGATGGCAAAGGAGTGAAAAATTTGAAAGAAAGAAATGAGCATTAGCAAGTATCTTTGTAAAATCTATTTTCTAGGAGGTGTGGGTAGAGAGTAATAGAATGATGCTGCTCAAAGGGTAACAATGAAATTTGTTGACCATAGTTAATAATGTATTATATACTTGAAAATTACTGAGTAGACTTCTCACATCAGTGTAGAGAAGTTAACTGTGAAAGATGATCAAGATGTTAACAAGCTTGATTGTGGTAACCATTTCACAATTTATACATTTATCAAAAGATCATATTATACACTATAAATACATACTGCATAGCTTTTGTTAGACCTCAAAAAAGCAGAAGGGTAAAAAAGCTTTTCAGATAAAACATTTTATTTCAATAGATTCTTGGACCAAAGAAGAGGAAAGAAAAAACATCAAACATAACTTACCTTCTTGTCTCTGGTCCTTACTTCTCCATAGAAATCTAGAGCCTCTTGTGCCTTTAAAAATTTGCCCCGATGTAATAAATATGCACAAATCATTACACCAGTCCGTCCCTTTCCAGCTTTACAGTGAATTGCTGCAACATGATTGTCATCTTCACTTAGCCATTGGTCAAGATCTTCACAAAAAGGCTTGATAAGTTCTAGCTGTGGTGGGTTATGATCTTCAAAAGGGTATTGTGCAACTGTGATAAAAACATAATCTCAGAGTAAGAAAGGGATCTTGCCTAAATTTCTAATCAGAAATAGGTCAACTTTAGAAATGTTTCACATAAACTCAAGATGTTTAAACAGAAAAACTGAACTGCATAGAAAAATAATTTATTGTTCGTTTACTTTTTTACTTTCTTTTTTTAAAATACAAAATAGTCTATTAGTAACTTTTAAACGTATCTATTACACAAGGTGGCCAGGTATTACGTTCTTCACTTCATGCAGGAGAAAACTGTGATTTGACAGGGAACACAGATCATAAAACATCAAAGATACATCGAATCCAAAAAAATACCAGGTCACACAGCCTCTCATAACGTCTTTAGGTGAATTTCTGACAAAAGCAGTAACATTTATAATACTGCATCACCATACAACACACTTTGAAGAAAGTATGAACTACTAATAGGATACACTATGAAAAAAATGCATTTTATATTTTATAAAATAAAAACACTAAGGTTATTTAAAGATGGTCTAACAAATGTTGGTATACATAAAACTTGAAGCCATTTACAAAACAAAATGAAAAAAACTACAAAAACTATACAATCTTGGTAAAGTTTATCAAATAAAGTTTCAAGTCTTTCTTTTCACACAAATTATTAAGAACCAAGACTTCTGTCTCCTACAATCAGAGCTAAGATTTGTCTTATTAGCCTTCGTTCCACCATCTTAGAAAGTTTAAAAATCCTTACCAATACCAATATATTAATTATCCACTGTGTCATCTAAGCATATTTTAAAAAGCCATGTCTTACATCCTTAACCAAATCACCAAAATACAGTACATGATACAAGCAAATCCTTTGCTGTGACAGGAGAGCTCTTCTAGTAGACAATGAGTTCTATTACACAGGGTTGGCAGGACAACTTTTCACTTAGTCATCTGCCTAAGTATACTCTCTCATTCTACATTTCTCCAGTGGTACCAAAAAAAAAAAAAAAAAAAAAAAAAAAAAACCCAAAATTCAGGAAAATCTATTAAATATCTATTCCAGGTCAGATGAACCTCAACTAGGACATGTCTTGCCTAGTAAGTACTAGCTAGCGTAATTCCACCAAAAAAAGAAAGCATTTTTATAGTGAAATTATACTCTCAGTCAGCAGAGCTGTTTGAAAGCTGATTCTAGAGTTTTAGGGCTCAATGACAAATACACCAATCTACAGCTCATGTTACCCACTTTTACTTTCAACTATCATGGCAGAATCTGCCAAGTTTCTCAACTCTCCAGTTTTCTCAGGTTTTAAGAGGTTTTACAAATACAAGCGGAAGTTTTTATGAGCTCCTAAGAGGAATTTGCCTGTGTCTAGAGTAAAACTCATTTAAGTGGCTCCTTGGTCTCCCTAACAGGTTCTCTCTTTCTTTCTTGAGACAAGGTCTCACTATGTAGTAGGTCAGTGTGGCTTTGAACTCAACTGGGTAGCCTAGGCTACACTCAAACTCACAGCAGTCTTCCTGCATCAGTCTCCCAAGTGTTGAGATTACAGGTATGAACCACCATGCCTGCCTTAGGCTCATTTTTTAAAAGCCTTTCCCATCTTTTAAGTCATTTCTCAACGGAAAAAAAGTCAGCGGCTCTGTTTTCTCCATACAACTGCTTACTATTGCACCAACTGTTTCAAGCAGCAGGTAAATATCCTCTTTATTCCATTATCAGTTTAGTAATTTATCCTAATTCTTAAGTCTACTATGTACTCGAGTTTTCCGGACAACATTGACAGATTTACCTGACACATGATTTCTAAAGCTCAACCAAAAAATTAGTATTTTCAAATTATCTCAGACTATAATTAAAGAAAAATATTTATCTTTTCTAATAATTTAAATGATCCATTATTGCTGATAATAAAACACAGCCTATTGGTTTTCAATCATACCCCAGACCATGGTATATTTATACATACCTCTGCAATTAAATTTGGCGGTGTCATAATGTCTTTCAGCACATCTAAAAGAAAAATTTACGTTACATTAAGCTACCTTTTGCACACGGAGGGAAAAGTACTAATATTAACAAACATTTCCTGAGTTTCATGTCAGTTATTCTGCTGTTTTATATTATTTCATTTAAATCTAAGAATTCTATAAAGAAGCTACTATTATCTGTTTTACAATTAAGAAAACAGAGGCTTAAAAGATTAAGTATATACAATAAGAACTTATACACTTGTTTACAAAACTTGTGATGCCACCAAAATACAACACTGCACATTCATCTGCATTTATACTTTCAAATTTGCTATATGGAAAATCTACATGTTATTACAATGTATTTTTATTTCACAAGTATTTGTCAACAAGCAACTGATTTCAGTATTATCTTTAACCACATAGGCGAGTATACACAATTCTCTGTTAGTTTAAAACATGTTTAAATAAAAGCATAAACAAAAAGAAAAAAACCCCTGAAAGATACTAATCTACTTAGACACAATGCTTGTTAAATTTTTAAACCATATCTTTCTCCCTTTAGATAAGCCAAAGGTATCCTATTCAATAATCTCTCAGATGACAAATTTTATTTAATGTCTGAAAGCAATGAAAGAATAAGTAAAATCAATATAGAATAGTAAAATGCTGACCTATCTTTACCTGAGCATACAAATATTTGTCTTTGTAGTGATTTTTGTTATTATGCACTGGCTTATTCAGGTTCAAAAAGGGATTCTATACTTCAGTGTGGTCAGCAGCATGCTGGTAACTCCAGATACTAACCCAACTAGATGATTTAAAATTATTCAAAGTAAAAACTTGGTATTTTAAAATAAAGGTCCACTGCTCCTTAACCAGCAATTTCAAAATTCCAAGTATACAAAACATTTAACGTTTTCCAGTATCAAAAAGAAAAAATTGAAAAAAAAAAATCTTTACAGGAAGCAGAGGAGGTATAAAATAGGGTGATAATATACCAAGAGTAATGATAGTGCTCAGAACAATGGTTGGCAAGGTAAAAATGAAAACTTTCTTAATTAAAATTGTCTCTAACTGTATTCCCAGCACTTGGGAGACTAAGGCAGGCAGACTACAAGATCAAGGCCAGCCCAGATGACACAACGAATTCAAGGCCAGTCTGAACTATATAGCAAGATCCTGTCTCTTCAAACCAAACCAAAGCAAAACATTTTCTCTAAGAAACGCCCTATACATACAAGTACATATTTTTTTTGACGTCTTTGTATTTTGTTAGTGATGAGTCTATCTCATAGGGTTACCAAAAGAACTAAGCATTTAACCAATTAAACTTTCTTATTACAAAAACTCAAAAGATATCATAATCACTTTTTTGTCATTATTACCTCATGTTGGCTTATACGAAACAAGAAAATGAAGAAGCACTAAGTGACTTTATTATGAAATGGTGGTAGAAAGAAAGTGATGAAAAGAATAAAATGAAGTTTTCAGAGAAGCCAGGAGGTTCTCTGCATTCTACCAGGAAGCTATTCCTATTTTACCAAAAGTAACAAAAATAGCAACAACTTAAGGTTTGCTATAAAATCGTAAGATTTTTCAAATAGAATATGCAATGAAAATACAGTAAATCTTTTAGAAGTAATATTCAGTGAACACTGAAGTTCCTCACACTAGAAATACAAATGCCTTTATTCCCTATCAACCCTCCTTACTCTTTACCAGAATACAGATTATACAAAGAAAAAAAAAAAAAAAAGTAAAATACACTAGTACAAAGCAGATTAATGAGTATCAGTATATCTATGGTCAATGCTACAAAACTAATTTTGACCTTTTTAAAAATAACAATGCCTGAAGAAACTATAGCGATATAAAGAGAAATAGTTTAATTATTAGAAAGTTCACATTTCAACAATGCATTTCAAAGTATTATAAAAGGTTTAACATATTAATAAACATGAGCATGCCCATTAAAAGTATTTTAAGATCTTCAAATTTACATACTTGTAAAGAAAATAGCAATGGGGATGCCCACTAAAAATATTTTAAGAACTTGAAATTTATATATTTGCAAAGAAAGAGGTAAATGTCATATGTAATTACTATCCTAGAATAAAAGAAAGAAAATAGAAGTATCTGCAGTTATTAGACTCATTTACCCAGAACCAGATAAAAAATAAGCAAGGGAAGAAAGGACGGTAAAGGAAACCGGAAAGTGACATTAAAAAAAAAAATGAAAACATGTTACAATTCAGTAGTTCTAGAAACTTTTAAAGGGAACAAAATTTGGGGAGGTAAAAATAAAGTATAAATGGAATATTTCCAGTGGAGGGTCCATGTGACCTGTCAGCTCATTTCTCTAGATCTCAGATTCTCTATCTGTAAAATAAAAAAATTATGCTAAATTATCTCTTTCGCATACTTTTCAGTTCTGTTAAATCTCAGGATTCCATGTAAGAAAAGGGACTTAATATGCATTACAAAGTACTCCCAAAGATTGAAGAAATATTTAATTAATTTGAATGTTTTGTTTGGAAATACGAAAACAGGCTCTCAAATATCCTTCAAAGCTAACTTTAAAACAATAATAATGCAAGTTACTTGCACTACCAATACCAACAGTATAAGCCTTAAGCCCTGAAATCTGGAAGCAGAAATACAAAAATAAAAAATAACTGCCTCCCCTCCTTTGGACCTATTAAACTAGAATAAAATTTTGACAAAGGTAGAATTTGTTTTCAGTGCTTTCCAATCTCCCTCACAACTCTTTAAATCCCCAATTCTGACAATCCAGGTCTGAAGTGATGCATTTAATGAATTTCAGCTTTTGATAGTTCTAGACACAATTTCTGATCCAATTGTTCAAAAAATACAATGTTTTGGTTTTTATTTTTCTCCAAAGAAATACATTACTATGGCATCTGCCACGGGCTTTCTAGAGGCTAATCTGGAAAAGAAAAAGACCCCCAAACACGAAGATCATTTGTAAACTAGGCTCATCTAAACGTACACACTTTTACCACTTTAATCACACATACACACACCCAAAAGTTTGTCTTGTCCCATTCCAAACATAATTACACCAATAATCTCCTTACTTGCCATTCCTTCCATCTCCAATGCCACTTGCTCTCCTCCTGAGCCTAGAAGTCGTTGACTTCACCGCTTCTGTTCACCACAGATCAAACATACCTTCCTTCATGAAACCTTCTGTATGCATAGTGCATAATTATTCACTCATCTCTTTTATACAAGTTACCTCTTCTATAATATTTTGTATTTCACATTATACTATAAGCTAATTGAGAACTGCAACTATGTCTTACAACCTCTGTATCCCTCAAAAAATGTTTTATAATTCCTAACATGTGGTGAGCACTAAATACATGATTGCATCTTTGCCAATCTGAAGAATTCCACACAAACTCACTAGGAGTAATAATATCAGTGTCTACTCCATACTCACTACTTATGAGGTCTTATCAGGACAGAAATATTACATGAATAAAAAAAGCAATACACCACAAGCCAAAAAGGCATATGGAATCCTTTGTCCTTTTTGGTAAAGATTTAAATGCCTGCTAATGGCAGAATTTTACTCTTTTGTTTGATCAACTACAAAAAATTTAGTGAAATAGTATACCTAATTCTGCATAAATCCTCTCTATTGTGGAATTCATATATCCATATAAGAAAAATAAAAACCCAAAAAATAAATAAAAAATAAAAACCAGGTAGAAAAATAATGTGCCATTTATTTAAAAGTTAGAAAACGGTTCACGTTTTGGGAAGGAAAAACACTCTTAAAGGACCAAGTGGTTAAGTACTTTCTTCCTTCCTTTTTTTCCTTTTTATATTTCTACTCCCAAAGTCCAAAGGAAAGAAAGTTGAAGATAAGATCAACTAGTTCTATCGTGGGCGATCTTTAAATTCCTATACCAGACAAAAAAACTTCTAATTTAAAATTTTATTAACTGTTTTATATACCATTAAAGAATACTCTTAATAGCTTTTTTAATCAACCAATATAAATTACATCCATTCTGTAGCACACCTCTATGGAAGATGGTTCTGGGTTTCAACAGAAGCTTTGCTGTAGATTACACTCAAATTACTGACCGCATGGTTACAGGTTCAAGAAGGCATGCATGCATCCCAAGCTATTCAAAGCAGATCGAGTAACATAAACTTGTGCCAATACTGTTTTACTTCATCACTCCACTTTCCAAATGATCTATCCATCAAATTCCAACTAATTCTTTTAGGAATACAATTCAGTTAAAATATATCTTTAACTTTATTTCACTCTAATATAAAAATAACTTTTGCTCACTAATTATTTTACAAGATATTTATTCACAAGCATACAAATAAGAAAACATACTTACAGATTGTATATCTTGTAATGGTTTTTATGCTTTGAATCCAAAAACCTTAAAACAAAACAAAAATCCACTATTAACAAAAATGATTTAAAACTGTACTTGAAATTACATTAATACAATTAAGAATCAAAAGACAGATTCTATTTTTCTTAATATCAAATACCATTAAGTAAAAATAAATTAATAACTCATATTCTCTCCATAGGTTTACACTAGTAATCATGGTATTCTGATAATTACTACATTACACAGATTTATACAATTTGGAGTAAAACCAGAGCTTTACACAGAATGAGTATTTCCATAATCTTTTGTTTTCAGGCTAACATGAGATTGAATTTTATTAAGTAATTTCTTAGAAAGGGAGCATAAGCTCTTAGCATTAGCATGGCTCATACAGATTTCCAAGAAAGTCACAAGCTTTCTCTATCCCTGAAAATTATGGCATAGTTTTCTTCCCAACTAAAACTTTTTGATATTTAAAAGATACAGATGGTAGCTATTAATTCTGAAGGAGTTCATCAAGCATTTTTACATGTATATTCTCATTCAACCCTCACAAATATGTGAGAAATAGTTTATTCACATTTTACAGAGGAGGGAATCTCTTTTCAAAGAGACTATTGGACTTGTCCAAGATGACACAACTAGTAAAGAGTCAAACTCGAAGACCATTCCTTCTTGACAATTATTTATGAAACTGTTAAACGAACAATAATTACAAGAATCACAAATACACACACATGCACACACAGGCAAACACACACCTTTTTAATCCTCAACACAACATCAGGTAGGGGGAAAGGGTCAGAAAAGTGTAATTTTGAGGAATTATCAGAACAAATAGAAAAGACAATTAGAGGCTTAAAAGAAGAAAATATCCAAAACCAAATAACATAAATTTTAAAACCGAAATGCATATGAATACTGAAATGCATATGAGTACACAGCAAAACTGATGAAAACATGCCCACATAGAAGTACATATACCTTTGTGAAATTTCTAAAGGGACAAAAACAGACAATCTTAGCTGGATGCCTATAAGGAAATAGGTTGCATAAAAAGAATTTGGAATCAAAATGACATTGCCCTTTTTAACAGCAACACTAACAGCTTTTTCAAAAATGGTCGATACATGATTTTAAAGAAAAATTATTTCCAGGCTACAATTCTATATTCTAGACTATAAATCTTAAGTATATAATAAAGATACTTTACAATAAGCATAATCTCCAGTAATTTTGCTTCCCATACATTTTCACGGAGTTCTTGAAAGATGTGCTTCACAAAACAAAAGTGGGAAGATATGAAGTAAGGTGACAAATTCTAAGAACTAAAGAGTTCAAAATGCAAATGTGAAGATTCCCAGGATGATGAGGAAGAAGCATCTAAGCAGACTGCCACACACTAAGATTAAAGAGCAATTCATACAGATTAGGTAAAATGAGAAGGCCCCTGGAGAAAAGAAAACTGACAAAATACCAAATGTGACTAAACATGGAGAGATTTACATCATAAGGGGTATGTATGTGTATCAAAACACGATCAAAAACATAGAAAACTAAACAGTAAAAAAATAAGGAAACTATCATATTTGGGGCAGGGAGTTGCAGAAAAAAGTTACAATCTATTATTCTGCTTAATTGTGAATAGCATTTATGTAGTTATAATCACATAAAAACTAAATATTGGTACAATCAAAATTACAGTATGAAAAGAGATAATAGGTGGAGAAAAAAACTCATAAATTTGAAATGAAAAATTATGTCACACAGTAGTACAAGCAGTACTTAATAAAACTGTCACTAACAGAAGTTACAACTCTTCACATATCGTATTAACACTACTGTAGGGGCTGGGGATTTAGCTCAGCGGCATAAGTGCCTGCCTTGCAAGCAGGCAGTCGTGAGTTCGATCCCTGGTACCAATAAAAATGAAAAAGACCAAAAAAAAAACCACTACTGTAATTAGTTTACGATCCATAACGTACCACCCCTCATATATGCCTTGCTGGGGGTCGGGGTTCTTCTCTCAAAAAGCAAAAGAATATGTAACTCAAGTGGAACAAAGGTTTCACTGAGGTAAAAAGAGTTCATGGATTTGTGTTGCTAAGACAACTGTAAAGGGTCTTACACTGTAAGACAGTAAAGGGTACCAGAAAAGAGATAATGCATAGCAACAGAAGAAAACAAGTTGGATGGATTTCACCTCAGTCTGAACAAAAAAGCAAATAGGTAATACATAAGAAGAAGAAGGAAATTTGCATGGATTTCACCTTAAGTCTTTAACCAAAGGCTGGGGTGTCTTGTGTAGGATATGAAAACATGAGACACTGAGGCAGTACAATAAATACAGGGGAAAGTTGGAATTCTGACACAGACAGAGAGGAAATAATCTCACGAGCATCCCAAATATTCAGCTGAGACCTCAGAAAAGTCATATCTTACAAGTAAGGCCCTGCTAGGCATGGTAGCACACACTTGTAATTCCAGTAATCAGGAGGCTGAGGCAGCAAGATCACTATGAGTTCAAGGTCAGTCTGAACTACATAATGAGTTCAAGGTTGCCCAGAACTGCATAGTGAGACCCTATCTCAAAAAACAAACAAACAAATAAAGGCACTAGGACAAAATAAAAATCTTAAATCTGCCTTTACAAAGAAAATCAAGTTTAACAGTATCAGATCAACCTTTAATTTAAATGCCTACCAAAATGAAAAGGAAACCCCTTAAAGAAAACAACATTTTGATTCCATTCAACATTCAACATCTAACTAAAATTTACTAACAGACAAATAAGACAGACATGACCCATGACCGAAGGGAAAAGAAAAAAAACAATCAATAGAATCAAATTCCAAAATAAACCAATTGTTAGGATCAGCAAATGAATTTAAGGTAGCTATTATAAGTATGTATAAATGATATAAAAAATGATTACACCATGTGAAAAGTTCCAACAAAGATATAGACAATATAACAAAGTATTTGAGAAGAAAATTCTAATGGTATCAACAGAACACAAATTATAGAAGCAAGGTTTATAGATTTTATTTTCTATAACTTCACTTAACATTTATTAAGAGTCTGCTAATTAACAAGCACTACCAACAGGCAATAACAAAACTCCAAGTAGTGACAATAGCCAACAATAAGGGGCTTGAGAAACGCAATAGAAAATGTACTTTTAAGGCATTCCATTTAGAAAACAGCCTACAGCCACCAGACAACTTCAATAACCCTAAAATGTTAATCAATCAAACAAACAAAAAATCAGCATCTGGAAAAGTGAAATAATCATTTGCTGCATTTTCCTCTAGCTCACAATCTGGTAACCACATATTATGGTTTAACCAGTATTTGATCCTTAAAGCCTGAATAACAGCTACTGCTATTACTAACACATGGAACTATGTTCTTTTGAAACATACAAATAACCTAGGCCTTAATTTTACTAACGCAGGCAAGCTCTGATCAATCTGTTAACTATTGCCTCCTGATCACCTTCAGGTTGTTTAATTATCAGCTATAATAACCAAAATAGGAAAAGCAATTAAAGTGGTGAAAAGGTACTTGCAGTTCTTAGCCAGACAGCACCGCTTCCTCCTATATTATCTTAATTTAAATAGAAAAGCTGAAATAAAAGTTTTGTATGATGATACTGAAAAATAGTGATTCTCAGTACTCAAGAAAATCTACTTTCCCAAAGAAATATAAAATTGAAAGAAATAGAAAATGCCTGCCTGGTAAGTGTTCAATCCCTGCAGAAAGGAAGGAAGGAAGGAAGGAAGGAAGGAAGGAAGGAAGGAAGGAAGGAAGGAAGGAAGGAAGGAAAAGAGAGAAAGAGAGAGGAAGGAAAAAAGGAACCAATCATCGGGGAAATCAGATGGATGGTGGGTGCTAAACAAATTTAGAAGGCTATCACAAACTATGAACAAGAAACTGCCAAAAATGCTCCAAAGTAGTTGAACCACTTTGTGCTTTTTATCACATTCCTTGTTAGCCCCGTAAGTTTTACCCATTTCTGGTAAATAAGATACATATCTTACTGTTTCAATCTCCATTTTCCTGATGACTGACTGTAAATAACATTTAATATACCTATCAACCATTTATATATCTTCTTTTGTAAACAGTCAATTCACATCTTTTGCCTTTTTCTTTATGGGGTTATCCTTTCATTATGAAGTTGTAAGCATGTCTTTATATACTGTGGATTCCTGTTCTTTGTTAAGAAATACACTGTAGATATCGTCTCAAATGCTGTCATTTCCCTTTCATTTTCTTCTGTGTTTAAAAGAGCAGCTTCTAGTGGTGTCCACTGTGTCTACTTTTTCTTACACAGTAATTATTTATGTCTGAGAAACACAAACACAAGATTTATTATGGTTAAAAAACTCTAAAAGTCACAATGGCGTTTCCTCTGTTTTTTCTAGAAGTTTTTACAGCTTTACATTATATTTTTACATTTTGGTCTATAATACACTTCAAGTAAATATTTATATATGATAAGAGGTATGAATCAAAGTTCATTTTATTATGTTGTTCTAGCATTTTTTGTTAAAGACTAGCCTGTCCCCACTGAAAAGCTTCAGCACCTTTGTAAAAAAAATGTGAGTTTCTTGGGATTTCTATTTTATGCCATTGGTCTATACTATCGCACAATATTACTCATAAGTATTAAGCTAACAGAAAATATATGTTCACCAGTCTTACTTAGCAATAAAATTAGAGATGACCTTCCATGTCTGTGGTTTTACATCTGCAAACCAACTGCTGATACAAATAAGCTTCTGTGTACGTATTCAATATGTAGACTTTGTCCTTGTCATTATTCCTTAAACAATGCAGTACAGCAACTACATACATAACACTGACATGTCCACAGTGTAACATATTATAAGTACTCTAGAGACAATTTAAGATCTGAGAGGATTGCATAGATTATATGCAAAGATGACACCATTGTGCATAAGGGATTTGAGCATCTGTACATTTTTACAAAGACAGGAGAAACAATGTCATAATTACCAAGAGAATACTGTATT